TACACAAAAACAATTTGCTACAAGTTACAACTATGCTCGTGAAGTTCATGGTTTGGAATAATATGCGAAGTGTATATATGGTCATTGGTCAGTATTGAAGCATTGGGCTTAGGCCCATATCAACATCTGTGAGATCTCGCTCTTATAATTCGGCCCATCCGAGTCAAAAGGCTCCGATTTTAGCGCAGTGCACTTCTTCGACACACGGACCACTTGATCTATTGACACGTGTCAATTCACAGAAGTGCACTTGTTGATTAGGCCGCGCGTAACCGCCAGAAACGCGAAGGTTTCCATCACACGTCGCATATCCGACCACGAAACCCACCACTGGTTTTTTTTTTTTCCTTTCGTTTTCTTAATCCAAAAGCTTCAAAAGAAATTGGGTTTTGTCTTTCGTTTCGAATCTGGAATCAACGTAGATTGCTGTTGATTTTTTTTTTCAATCGAATCGACTTCCGGAAATGGCGGAAAGTGAGAGTGTAGATAAAGAGATAAGATCGGTGGTTTCGAGCTGCGAAGCGTATTTCGAGAAAGTACAATTGAGGAAGAATCTTCCTAAATCTCTTCAAGAAACCCTAAACTCTGCCTTCGCCGGAATCCCCGTCTCCTCCTTCCCTCAAGTTCCCGGCGGTAAAGGTAAAATTAGACAAAATCACATGTCTCTTCGATTTCTCCGGTTATGTCTATATCTGTCATCTTGGTCTGAAATGGGTTTTGCATCTTCTCCTGAATTCTCGTTTAAATTTCCAAACTTTATGAATTAATGTTGATAATTTGGGAATATGGATTCATGATCGTCAATCAGTGTGGTGGGGTCTTTTAGCTGTGTTAAAGTTTTGTAAAGTTACCAATTTTTGCTTAGATTCTGTTTTCTTGTTGTCGTTGTTTGATGATAGTGATTGAGATTCCAGCGGAAACATCTGTGTCAGAGGCAGTAAAGATATTATCAGACAGCAAGATTCTTTCAGCTCCTGTGATAAACACTGATCACGAGAGTTCTTTAGATTGGAGAGACAGATATTTAGGAATCATCGACTATTCCTCGATTATTCTATGGGTGCTTGAGAGTGCAGAGCTTGCTGCAATCGCGTTATCTGCAACGTCAGCAACTGCGGCTGGTGTTGGTGCAGGAGCGGTTGGAGCTCTTGGTGTTGCTGCGCTCGGTGTCACTGGTCCAGTTGCTGTGGCAGGGCTAGCGGCGGCTGCGGTTGGAGCCGCGGTTGCTGGTGGTGTTGCAGCTGACCGTGGGATTGGGAAAGATGCTCCAACTGCTGCTGATAATTTGGGGAAAGATTTCTATCAAGTCATTCTTCAAGAAGAGCCTTTCAAATCAACCACTGTATGTTTTTATAAATGCTTTGTTTTGGTTGATGAAAAAAATCAATTGAAAATCTCGTGATTGATTATGGTATGTTTGGTTTTTCAGGTTAGAACGATACTTAAGTCTTTTAGATGGGCTCCTTTTCTTCCTGTGTCTACAGAGAGTTCAATGCTGAGTGTTTTGTTGCTACTCTCGAAGTACAGGCTAAGAAATGTGCCGGTTATTAAAACGGGAGAACCGGATATCAAGAACTACATTACTCAATCTGCAGTTGTTCATGGTCTCGAAGGCTGCAAAGGCAGAGATTGGTTTGATCACATTTCCGCTCTCCCGATTTCTGATCTCGGTCTCCCTTTCATGTCGCCCAATGAGGTAAGAAATTCAACTCTATGGACTTGATCTTCGCGGTATTAGGGCGCAAACCACTGAAATTCAACTTGTTGGATTTAGGTGATTAGCATCGACAGCGACGAACTTATTCTTGAAGCATTCAAGCGGATGAGAGACAACAGCATTGGTGGTCTTCCCGTTGTCGAAGGGCCGAATAAGAAGATTGTTGGAAACATAAGCATGAGAGACATCAGATATTTGCTTCTACAACCTGAAGTCTTCTCCAATTTCAGGTTTATTTTACACACTGATTTTCGTTACAACTTCTAGTTACAATGACTCTTTTTTTATGTGCAACTAAATTATATCATTGTCTCTATTAAAGGCAACTCACGGTGAGGACTTTTGCGACAAAGATTGCAACTAAGGGAGAGGAATACGGTTTAGCGGTTCCTGCATTAACTTGTAGGCCTGATTCGACTTTAGGGAGTGTTATAAACAGTTTGGCTTCGAAGTCGGTGCATCGGGTTTATGTAGGGGCCGGAGATGAGAATGAGCTCTATGGGGTTATTACACTGAGGGATGTGATCTCTTGTTTCGTATCAGAACCTCCCAACTACTTTGAGAACTGTCTCGGCTTCTCGGTTAAAGAAATGCTTAACCGATGATCTCTCTTTCCCATCTCTTTGGTCTTCTTGTTTCTTTTGTTGGTTCTTTCTTGTGAAGTTGTTTTTATAAACCAATTTGAATTTTGATTGAAGTGCTGTTTTTTAACCTTAAAAAATGCTTATAAGGTTGGACTTTTGCTTAAATTTATGAAATATGCATAAAGTTTGGAACTTTAGATTGATGAAAATGGATTATGATTGGAATTTCACTGAACAGCAACTCATTAGTGATTGGTTTGATTCAAAAGGATTAGTAAATTAAAATAGAGAAGAACTGGAGATTTAAAGTTTGCAACTTTATTAACAAAAAAATGAAAAGAAGTTTGTAACTTTGTGAAATATATTATTAAATCAAAGAAGAGCGTTTGGTCGACACTTTCAGCTGCCGCGGCGACTCAAATCCAAATCTTTATTAGACCATTGAATCCCTAATTTTCCGGCA